TTAAAGAAAGAAGGCTCCATGTGAAAGTTCTTTTACAGTGTCACGAGGGTAAGAGAACAACTCCCTTCGTTACAATTTATAAAGCACTTTTAAATAAAATCATACATATCAATAAAGCTTAATAAATATATTTTGCAACTTTACTTTTTAACAACATAAATATAAACTTTTAAAAAATACTCTTCATCATCATCTAATTATTTATTTGTAAAAGAATATTAAAAAAATATATTTTTTGGCCAAAAAAGAGAGAATATATAAGGAGGATAATATTAAAAAATATCATTAATAAAATCTTATTTTTGTTAAAGTATTTTATATTTTGAGACACTAAATCTCTTCTAAAAATGTCTCATAATTTGGGATAGATGGAGTATAACTCAATAAGAATATGAAAAGTTTTTGGATACCATGTGAAAGTGAATGAGATGCTTCGTTCTCAGTTTAGATTAAATATATATAATTCTCAAAATCTGACCTCTACTATTTTTGTTTCCCCTCTCTATAAAATCCCTCCTTTGCTCCTTTTGATGGGCATCGTAATTAGCATTCATATTTATGATTTGCATTGTCCCAAACCAGAAAACGTGATTTTCTATATGCATCAACCCCACACACGCGCACACATATGTAGATGCCTCATCTTCCCTTCTCAAGTACTCCTCTTAATCTATTTATAAGACATAGAGAATATTTTTTTTAGTTTTATTTATAGGATAATCAATAATTACTGTGTCCAAGTATGTTATTTTTAACATGTATATATATAATAGGGATAAAATTAAAAACTTGTTGAATTTCTAAACAGGCTTAATGAAGTTTAAAGTTTTTTTTATTTTAGTGAAAATATTGAAAATAACTTATGTAAATAGGATTAGAAAGAGTACCATTCAATTAGAGAACCCCGAGTCTATCTACCACGAAAGAAATGTGATAACTTATACTTTAAAATTATTAGTAGTGCAAGTATAATAGTAATAATAATACATCATCTTTAATTTTAAAAATTCAAAGTCTAAATTAATTATTCACTGATAAATAAACTTTTAACATAGAGGACGTACTAATTAATTATCTCAATCATTGCAAATGAAAATTATTAGAGAAGACCCTTCATATGACTTGTCTATATTTATGAATTTAAAATATTATTTATATTTATTTTATATTTGACTTCTTTTAAGATAAATAAAATAGAAAACTAGAAAATATTAAATTAAAGTAAAGTAAAATACATTGATCCCCCTCTTGTTTTCATTAATTGCAAATACATCCCTTCTATTTTAAAAACCTATATAAACCTTCTATAAAATCAAGGGTTAATTTTGAGCAAAACTATTACTCGAATAGCTTCACCCTAAAATCTTAAAATGAGTAAAAACTCCCATCAACTTATAAATTCTTAAAAAATTACCTCTTGATGTTTATCCATACAATGTTGATCGTTATGTAGCCCAACTAGCATGCTACGTGTCAAGAGGAAATTAGTGTCACATCAGCCTTTGACCAGGCCCACAAAATCAAAAGTAATGGCAGATATATGAAAATTAACAACAGGAGTGATTTGCTATTTGAGTAATACTTTAACGTTCAGGATACTCAATATAAGAGATTGAGAGTCCAAGATGCTATTCGAATAATCATTTAGAGCCAAGATGCTCATTAATCCTAAAATCAATAATCACAAAATACAAACATCCCTTTTAATTTAAAGATTTCATTTTCATTCCCTCGATTATTAGTTGATCATTAAAACATGTATGTTAGACCAAATTAAAACACTATCTTTAAACATAAATGTATTTAAAGATCATTGAAAGTACCCAAAAAAATTAAAGCATATATTTTTTACAACTAACATACACCAAAAAAAAATAATGAAAGAGGCCAATAATATACTAAGAGACAAATTTGTTGATATAATTCATTTTATTTTTTTAATTTTATTAACTTAAAGAATATATTTTAAAATTATTTATTTAAATTTTTCATAGTTAATTATTTCTTTTCCTCATTTTCTAGTTTTAATCTAAATCGCAAAATCAACTACGTAGATTAATTGTATTTTGCTTAACTTAATTGAGTTTGTGAAGTCATTTATTTGATCATATACTTAATACAAATCTCTCTAGAAAGTAGAAACACTAATTTACTTATACTCCCTTGTTTCAAATTATAAGATACTTTTAGACTAAATTTACATACTAATAAAACTTATTAAATACACTTTACAATCTTACTTTTTTAAGACAAAAATATAAATTTTTAAAAATGTCCTTTATTTAATACTCCATTGATAAAAGAATATTGAAGAGAGAGAATATGTGAGAAGGGTAATATTGAAAAAAAGCATAATTAATGAAACTTCATTTTTATTAAAGTATTTTATATTTTGGGATAATAAATTTTCTCTAAAAGTGTCTTACAATTTAGGACGAATGGAGTACTTTATTATATGCACACTTATAGAAGGCAACAATAATATATAATTTTAAAAGCCATTTTATAAACTTACTTATATAATAATTGTTTATATTTTAAATATAAATTAACAAAAATAATAGTTCAAAAATTCACGAATAAAATTTAATGAATAAAAAATATATTCGAAAAAATAATTAAGACTTCAATATAATGGGAGATAAATTAATATAATTTATATTAATTTTAATTTAATATAATTTATGTTTATTAGTTTTAATATTTTGTAAAATATTTAGGTAAATATAACCATACGTTTAGATTATGAGGACAAATTAATCCTTTTTTTTACATATTTTAATTTAATTTTGATTGATATAATAAATCATTTTAAAATCATAAACAAAATATTCCTACAATATTAAAAAATGACTAAAATATAAATTTTGAAAATAGAAGAGAGTGATAATACAATTTTTAGTTCAAATTTATCTTAATGATCAATTTAGTCCCTCAAGTTTAATTTTTTTTAATTTAAAATTTTAAATTTATTTCTGTTATCAATTTGTTCTCTTGTGTTTAATTTTTTTAATTTAATCCTTCAAATTTATTTATGTTATTAATTTGGTCCTTTTTATTTTAAAAAAGTTTTTAAAACGGCTAACATGATGGTTAACGTAATATTAATATCGGCCATATAGTTGGCAAAAAAAATAATGATAACGACCATATAAATACATGAAAAAAAGGTATACTTAGTTATTTAAATTGGGAAAAATAGGTAATATTTTAAAGAACAAGAAAATAAAACAAAGTGTAATGGATCATATTAATAAAAATTAAACTCATTCCATTAATGAAAATAAGATTCGGAAAGTATGAATTCTAAGTGGTATGTTTCCAGAAGGATTGGACATATTTTTATACATTATACTACTGGGAGATAAAGTAAAAAAATAGAAGTAAATCATTTTGATTCAAGTGAAGGGTTATAGACTCTAGACCAAAATTCAAATGATCATACTTTTTTTCAACTTTAATTGTTGTCATTTAACTACATAACATAACAAAATATCAATATAATTATATATTAGATTATTTTGATAGTCAATTTATGTTTTATAAGACACATAAAAATGAAATTTGAAAGACTAAATTAATAACCAGGACAATTTTAAGATACTAAAAATTTCCCATTTCCTTATCCCTAGAAGGGAAGTCTCTATAATTTTAACAAACTTAAAAAGAAATTACGTCCTGTATTTTACTCAAAAACTTACTGTCACATGACAGGCAAAAATGTCAAGCTAGAATGCAAAACCAAACCCGAATCCATATATATATATATATATATATATTAATGATTAATGATGTGAAGAACAATAGAACAAACTTGCAAAATGCACTAACACCATATACATGTCAACAGAATGATGAATAACTAAAAGATCTTAGAAAACTGGGACTCTTGACGATCCCATCTATAAACGTGAACATTGAACACAAAATCAGGATCATCACGTTTGATCAATTCAAAGAAGCAAACATCTCCAATTTGCAGATGAAGTTCATCCACAAACCTCTTCCACCCTTGATTTATTGTCGCTCTTTTAGTACCACATATTCGTTCAATCACCTCAAGCTTCATATTCCAACTTCTTTGCCTTATCTCTAACTTCACACTTTTTGCTTTTCTTCATCATATTCTCGCTGACAAATCTTTTAGGTATATGCTGCACGCCGAACATATGCATACATGAAACCAAACATAGCTTAGGCCCGAGAATCAAAATTTTCCCCAAAATGAGATATTTTCAATTTTTTAAAATTAAATTTAGATTTTAGAATGTGTTATTATCCTAAAAATTGTTCCTAAAAATATGTGTCTATATTATTTATTTTTAATTTTTTGAATATTTTAGAAAAAGAATATGTGGTGTTATAATATAAAATTTACATATTTTAAACATTAAAATTTAAAAAATGAAAATAAATTAAAAGCCCATGAAATCCTATTTTAAAATAATGGGCTTCTAGTTAACCTTCTATGTATGAAAACTTATAACAGAGTCTACCCCCCCCCCCAAAAAAAAAGAAAAAGAAAAAGAAAAGAAAAGAGAAAACTTACCAGAGTAGTTCCAGCGATATAGGAAAACTGGAGTTGAACATGAAAGAAAGGATTCTCAGAAGTGAATCGTATTTGGTCATGGTAATCAGCAAATAATGCGTTGTCGTTTTGACTCTTTATAGTTTGTGGTTTCTCTTCCTGTTTGCACTTTGACTTTCCCATATGACAAGCTACTGCACCAAGTCAACATTTGAACATTGAGTTATAAGTTTGATCCATTGCTTGTTCATAAGAAGAAATGATAAATCCTTATTTTACCTCTTCAAATTTTGAATAGAACTCTAGGAACTTTCAAGTTAAGAGAATGGCAAATCATGTATGTGTGTGTGTATACGTGTGTGGCCACTTTAATTTAACATCTCAAGTGTAAGATTAAAACTTAGATACTCAATAAAAATTGAGTCAAATGGAAAATAAATATGATTCAATTTCATTTGACTAAAATTGAAAATCAACAAAGAAGCTTACCAGTTTCATCGTCATCATCATCATCAGAACGAGGTATCAGAATGGATAATAATTGCCTTGGTTCATCATCATCATCATCAGCAGAACGAGAGGTATCAGAATGGATAATAATTGCCTTGGTTTCATCATCATCATCATCAACCAGCTTTCTTTTTCTTCCTTCTGGAACATTAATTCTCTGATCTTCTTTTCCATTTACTGGTTCAGAACACCTCTGATGATCTCCAGCTCCATCATTAAACTGATGCTTCACACAGCAAGTTTTGCCATAGACTGTGACCTTGAATTTTGAATGATATGGGAAATATTTGAAGACTAAAAAGTCTCCCACCTCCAAATTACTAGCTTTCACAAACTCACTCCAACCATTACTGAAATAGAATCTCTTCCCAAGCTTTTCCAATTTGACTTGTGCACTCTTACCGAAAGCCTCAAGGCTTGTTTTGCTTCGAATGTCTTTACCATACATGTTGATAAAAGCTGGTGGGATTTGCTGTTATAATAACACAGAGGATGCATATATAACACAGGAAAATATTAATGAGTAAAATTTTATGTTAAGGCTTATGATCAGTTTGTGAACTGTAAAAGTTTAGCGGCACAAGGAAGATATCTACAAATTACCAAGCGGGTAGAGAAATCATTGATGAGTATCTTGAAGAATGAAGGCTTCGTGGGTTCCATGAAAGCTTCTCGCAAGATTGATAAGATAAAAAATACGGGAGGAAATGCTAGTCACGAAGATAAAATAAGGTAACCCAGTAGGCACAATTACGTGCTATTAATTATTAATTTATTAATTTATTAATATTAATGTATTTATTAATGATAAGTATGAAATAATAACACAAATAGCAAAACCTAAATATTAATTGTTAATTAATACTAATATACTGGTAGCATAAATAAAAATAGACTCACGGGCCATATCTACAACGTTGATTGATGATTGAGGCGTCCATTCAACTTCCCAGAGACAAATAACATGGGCTTTGAATTTGGGGAAAGACATTAATTCATGTTTGACCAATAGGAGAATGTTCTTTAATTAAGTTTTTAGATGCCACATAATCATTTTTTATTTTTTATTTATTAAAAAATTTATCTTGTTTGTAAATGTATGCATGAACGTATGTACGTCATACATGTGAATAGAGTACATTTTATAATTAAGTGTAATAATTATCAAGAATTTGGAGGGGAAACAAACACCTTAATGTACCTTAAATTATAAAATTCTCAAATTTGACCTTCCATTTTTCTTCTTTATCTCTCTTGAGAATCTTTCTATGTTGTTTTTGCCGTTCGTAATTGGCAAGGATATTTATGAATTAAAATCCTTGAAATTGAGATTTAGGAATTTATATACAAATATATATATATATAATTTTTTTAAATATTTTATTATTTTTTTTATAAATATAAAATGTTCTCTTTCTTTCTTTAAATAAAAGAAAATTTTATGAATTCATGGATTCTTAAATTGAAGATTTAAATCCTATATTTATAATCTACCAAAGTCCCAACCCAAAAACGGTGATCTTGATTGGGTGAGACTGGAATATCATGAAGCCGAAAATCATTAGAAGTTGAAGAGAAAGGATTGTTATTGGAGTATACAATAATTATCGTGATTATGGAGAATACCAAAAGATGCTATCATTTTAGTAAATGTATGGTTTTGGTACAAATCTATGACATTGATTAAACATTTGCATGCCTAACTTATCGTAATCTGGATCTTGTACCTATCTCCAAAATAATTACTCCAAGTTCAAATATAAGCAATTTTTGAAAGAAAAAAATGACATATTAATAAAGTCCTCATTTCTATAAAAAAAATATACTTCTTTCATCTTAAATTATAGGACACTTTTAGAGCAAATAAAACTCATCAAATACATTTCACACCTTATATAATTTTTTAAAATAAAATATAAACTTTAAAAAATGCCTTTTATTTAATACTCCATTGATAAAAGAACATTAAAGAGAGAGAATATATGTGAAGGGTACTATTAAAAAAATATCATTAATAAAATCTTATTTTTATTAAAATATTTATATTTTGAAATGTTGAATCTTCCTAAAAGTGTCTTATAATTTAAGATTAAGGGAGTATATTATTTCTCTTTTTACTTTTAGTCCCAATTATACTAATGCACTCTATGATGAGTGAAAAATATATTTATAAAATATATAAATTAATAAATACAAGGGATGAAATAATAAATTTTTGTTACATGTATTAGATATTGTTTATATTTTAAATAATATTAGCTGAGAAAAAAAATCTTATATTTTAATTGGAAAGAGATAATATATGTAGTCTACCCCATTCAGAATTGGGCGAATATTCATATTTAATTTAATTTAAACTCTATAATTTTTACTATTTATTACTATTTATTTAATAGAAGCCTATCATATAAAATAGAATAATCTTTACCCGTTAAAATTTTAGATAATGATGTTTTTATATAAAATTGGAAAAAAAATTAAAACTTGGACCATTTAACTTAAATTTTAACGATTAAGATAAGATCAACACCTTCATTCTTATTACTTACTGATGGGACGAGAATGGAATCTTTTGTTTTGTTTTTTGTTTCGTTTCGTTTTGTTTTTTTTTTTTTTGGGCCAGATGGACGAGTATGGAATCTAAATTGAAGCTTTTCAACACAAAGAAACAAGGTCCAGTTAGAGATATACTATATTCTTTTATCTTCCAAATTAACCACACATCGACCCAACAAAATAGGCCATCTGATATTCATCAACAATCTTATCTTCCACTCCACCAATGCCTCCATACACCATTTATCACTGTATTATCTCTCTTTCAAATACATCTAACAAACTTTAAGAATTATAAAACAAAAGGAATAACTAAAAGATCTTACAAAACCCTGCCTTGTGACTATCCCATCTATAAGCATGAACGCAGAACACAACCCATCAGAATCATCACTTTTGATCATTTCAAAGAAGCACACATCTCCCACTTGCAGACTATGTTCTCTTGCGATTATCTTCCATCCCTTTTTACTGTCGCTTCGATTTGACATTTGGTACCAGGCTTACGTGTACGTGTGACCACCACCATCGTCGCACTCCAACTTTTCTGGGATATCTCAAACTTGATTCTTTTGTTTTCCTTCATCATATGCTCCCTGAAGAATCTTGTTGGTATTACTGCATAGCAGATTAAATATGCTTTGCATAAGACCATAAATGGAATATCTTAATTAACCTGTTTCATAATCACTTCATTCATCATGTAGCACAATTTTAACTTGCAAGAAGAACATCCTGGAAATATAAAAGAACCGTTATGTAATAATAAAGTTGAGCATGCAGAAACACTTACCAGATAATCAGTGACATTTGAACACTTGAGTTGAACTTGAAAGAAAGGATTATCAGAAGTGAATTTTATTTGGTTCTTATCAGGAAGCAATCTCCTGTACTTCAATACTCTACTCTTTTTGAATTTAGTTGTTTTCTGATCTTGAGTCTGCTGTTTGCACGTTGACTTTCCCACATGACCACCTGCACCAAGGCAACATTGAACATCTTGTTCCAGTTTGTAAGTTACATGTACTCATTTCGATATTATATCTAAATTTATAAGCTATTAATATATATATAGTGCAAGTTGAATGAGAATTGACCAATTCTAAGGATTTGGGTGTCTGGGTGCCCTCTCTACAGCCCCTACTGCCTAAAATCTCACTTTCATTTTTCCAATGATCATAGAAATTTCATCTAATTTCCTCAAATCAGAGGCTGAGATTTTGGACGGCAAACACTCCAAAACCCTAATTCTATAGAGTCAAAAGGCAAAGATTGAAGCTTACCAATTTGATCATCACCATTATGATCAATCTGATCTTCTGTACCTTTTAGAGGTTCAAAACCTCCTCTCTCGAACTCCATTAAACTGCTTCACACAGCATGTTTTTCCATAGATTGTAACCTTGAATTTTGGATCATCTGCGAAATATTTGAAGAGCAAAAGATCTCCTTGCTCCAAATTATTAGCTTTCACAAAGTCACTCCATCCATTGTTGAAATAGAATCTGCTTCCAAGCTTTTCTAATTTGACTTCTCCAGATTTGCCTAAATAAGTCTCAAGTACTATAGTTTTATTTGGCACGTCTTGACCGAACATGCTTGTTAAAGCTGGTGGGATTTGCTGTAACACAGAATAAAACAGACTATAAAAAATAAAGCTCTTGGGAGACTAATGGGTTAACACATTTTATATGCTGTTGTTAACTTCATCAAATGTAGAAGTTTAATAATAGAAGCGAAAATCAAACCATGTGACTAACCAAGCGAATAGAGAAATCATTGATCAATATCTTAAAGAAAGAAGGCTCCTCTACCAGCTCCATCTGAAAGTTTTGCAGTATCAGGGGAGCAAAAGAACTGTTGCTCAATAGGAATGTAAAGTTTTCAGAGACCACGTAAAAGTGAATAAGATGTTTCGTCTCAGTTTAAATTAAATTAAATTAAAATCTATAAAATTCTCAAAATCTGACCCTCTTATTTTTTCTTTCCCTTCTCTAAAAATCCCTTCTTTACTCCTTTGATAGACCTCGTAATTAGCAATAACATTTATGATTTGCAATCTCCCAAACCAGAAAACTTGATTTTCTATGCGCATCAACCATACTCTGTCCGTTTGCATATATAAGAAGAAAAAACTATATCATACAGTTTAAGAAAATCGGTTAATAACTATAATAATTATGATAATTATGTTTAAAAAAAGAATTAAACAACTAAAATATCTTGTACTAATCAACACAAGCATGCATTAATTATTTTTTATTAATGTAATTCAGAAAGATAATTTTAAAAAATTTTAATAAATGTTTATCAAGATACGTGATTTTTGCTTATAAAAAGAATATACAAATAAAATAAAAGTTTCTTTAACAATAAAAACGGAGGGAGCATATATAGATAATTCATCTTCCCTTCACTGTTAGTCTTTCAACTTAATATTTGGGGAAAAATTTCCATTTTATATTTATTTTATTTACCTAGATTCTTGTACATGAAAATTGAAACTAAGGGTAAAGAAAGAAATTAAAGCAAATATTTTCATGAGAAAATAAATATTTTATTAGTATCTAGATTACTATTAAAAGTTATTTATATTGGGGGGGGATGCCATTGTTGAGCCCACCAAGTACCAAAGAAGAAATGGGCTGGGATAACTTATTTTCAAAATTATTAATTATTATTTATTAATAGTATAATACTACACCGTCTTTAATTTAAAAAAAATTAAAGTCCAAATTATTAATTATTGATTGACAAAGAAAATTTTAAATAATAATTAATAATTAATAATTGTCTCAATCATTATAAATGAAAATCATTAGAGAAGACACTTCTTATTTGACTCGTCTTTATTTATAAAACAAATATTGCTTAAAAATTTAAAAGATTATTTATATTTATTTTATATTAGACTTCTATCTATTAACAAATACAAGGTTAATGATCATCTTAAATCCTAAAGTATTGCACGAATAAAATTTGGACATTAAATTTTAAAATGTACAAAAACTCTTATCAACTTTTCTAATTTCAAACATCTCAATATCATCATTAAATTAGAAAAAACGGTCATTATTTTAATTTAACAATTAAATGAATGCAACATTAACGTGTGACTAAGCCCTATAACTACAAAAGTAACAGTCGTATTTTATAATTTAATGATGAGATTTTAGGTGGTCGAAATTTAGAAGTTGAAGAGAGTTTTTAATACAAAATATAATATTATTTGCGCAATAATTTAAGATCTTAGATGCTCATTAACCCTAAATAAAAAGTTAAAATAGAAAATATTAAATTTATTAAGTATGAATCATCCAACATTGATGTGAATTGTTTAGATCAATTTAAAGATGAGTAGAGAATCCAGATTAATTACAAAAGGCTCTTTCCTTCTCTTATATTCCCTCTCTGTTTTCCCATGCAAAATGTCTCCATGATTAATCTACATGAGATATTGCAAAAATATGAAACATCACAAGATATATAAATATACACAAATATACTATAATTAATAATTCTTAGGCAAAAGAAGGGTGTGCCTAAGATGATTAATTATAATTTATAATTATTCATCTATTTGCCAACTTATTTAAAATTATTCTAACTATATTGTTGTGGCGTAATACATGTATCACGATAAACTCAAATCCTCATGATGACATTTAAATAGCAATTAATATGAAAATAAATAAGTCATTTTCTTTTCAACTATAAGAAAGAAATTAGATAGAAATCATAAATATAATATTAAACAGGACCATTGAAATTCATCAGTTGCTGTGGTGTAGTGGTTATCACGGTAGCCTTACACACTAAAGGCCCCCAGTTCAATCCTGGGCAGCAACATTACGTCTTCCATACATTTACTCTTTTGCACTTTTAAGTTTTAATATACAACAACCCAAATGTAGAGAGATTGAAAAGATAAACAATTTAATGCACAAATTAAAGGAGAATAAATATACTTAAATGCAATAAAAAATCCATAAATGTAATTACTAATTTAAATTGTTTTTACTAGCATGAATATGAAGAACAACATTATATATTTCTAATCTAAACTAATCCAATCTATCCATCTAATTTAATATTGAAAATCTCGAGAGGGCAAGCATCCCATTGACCCCCTCATCACCTCCAATTTGAATTGTCAGATTTTTTTATTGCTGTATTTCTTTACAACTTAAGGCTTAATAATATGTATAGACAACAGTCACATAGCCTTCTTTCTTCTTATTTTTTCCCCTCCACGAACTTTCTATGTGAAAAATTTTTCAAAGCTTTTTTTTTTTTTTATAACCTAACATTTAGTTGAGTTGAATTTCAAGACTCATAAGTATTAGGGTATGTCTTCAAATTCAACAAGTACTTAAAATAGTAGAATTTGATCACAAAATCTTGTGAGTTAAGAACCAATTTCCAACTAATTAAATCAATTTTTGCTAATAATTTATCAAAACTTTAGACGTTATGTATGAAGCCGAATCAGACCGATCCTTATTATTGATATAAAAAATTATTTATAATTTATGATGGAAAATGAGCAAATTTAACTCTAAAATTTAAAAAATAATATATTCATTTCTAAAGATGATTTGAAATGATTTGAACTCTCTAAAAAATAGAAAGATAAACAATATATATATATATATATATATAAACATAAACGCAGATTTGAACATCTTAAGAATTAACTTTAAAAAAGTTCGAAATATTTCTTAAAAATTCATGCGAATAAAAAAAGTATTTAGAAGTAATTTCCGTAAACAATTGAAAAAAGGGGAAACGGCATTGCGGGACCGCTAAAGCCCATTATTTGTGAAGAAGGACCAATACTTTATGATTTTACAGTACAAGACACATTTTTGTCATTTCTCATGAAAATTTATTTTATAAAAATTATAAAAATATTTAATATTAATTAGATCATTCAAATTAAATTTATAATATTTAAATTGATAATAAGATAAATTTTTTAAAAATTTAAAATTTTTAATTTATTAAATATAAAATAAAAATTTAAAAATTCGTTGACGAGGTGATCAGCACCGTCACCTAATGAGCATGGAAACCAAATGCGAGGGCTCCGCGCCTTGGATTACGGCACAAAAAACAACAAATGGACAAAAGCTCATGCGTGGAAAGTGGAAACTGGAAAGTGATATATATCTAATTATTTCCATGGATTACTCAATCAAATAACATTGTCAAATCCATTAATAATGAAAAAAAAAATTGTCAATGGTCAATAAGGACACCAACAAAAATTAATAGTAAATTCTATGCGTCAGCCATAAGATAGAACTGGTCATTAAATTAATAAAAATATTAGTGCTTAAGTATTCAATCATAATGAAATTTGTAACTATATTATTTTTTTAAAAAAAGTTTTGCATGTGAAAATGTTATGAAAACAAAAACTCATAGCATAGAAACTAAGGCCCTGTTTGATACCTATTTTAAAAATAATTTTTTATTCTTAAAAATAAAGAACAAATAAATTTATTTGATAATATATTTTTAAAAATTTTTATAGAATAAAAAAAAAATATTATTCTGAAGAATAAAAAAATAAAATAATTTTAAAATATTTGAAATTATTATTCTGAAAACAAAAAAGAATGAAAAAATATATATTTTTTATTTTTTTATTTTTAAAATATATTTTATAAAATTTAATTTTTAAATAATAAAAATAAAAACTTTCAAATAACTATTAAAGCAAATGATCATGCGTCATATAAACTTCGATGACTTCTTTTATTTATTCCCGTAGGGCCGGCCTCTTCGTTGTCTTAAGCTTGGGTTATAATTATATATATGTATATATAATTCGTTCAACAAATTTATTAATTTCATTCTTTTGCCTAACTCGTCGCCATTTCTTTAATCAGTATCCCGTCTTTTAAAAAAACGCTAAGCAAGCTTATCAAGAAAACTATATCCTCTTTAATCGCTTAGTAATATGTATAAAGTTTAGGTTAAACCTTTATTTACAGAAAGCGAATGGATGTCAATATAGTTTTTTTTCATTATAGTAAATTTTTAAAAATAGTGTAAAATAAAGATAAAAGGAAAAAGTAAAATTAAACAATCTAGGGCATGTTTGTTTTCAGTTTTTAAAATTTTTTTTTCGTTTTCTAAGACATAAAAATTTAAAGATTGTTTATATAAGTGGTTTTGATTTAATTGTTTCTAAAACTTTTTTTATTTTTTAAAAAAAATAAAAAATAGAAACAACCTTAAGTTATTTTCGTTTTATTTTTGTCTTATTTTAAAAATAGAATTATTAAAATAACAGTTACCTTGATCAATTTATATAATAAATCAACATTATTAACTGTTTTAAACCATCATTATCAGCCTATTTTTAATTTTAGAACTATTTTAAAATTAACATAACCAAACAAATTTTCATTTTATTTTTGTTTTTAAAAATTTAAAAACTTTATTAAAAATGAATTTTTAACAATAAAAATGAGAATAAAACCAATCGGGCTGTAAATAAATCTGAACAATTGAATAATTGAGCGACTCATATATATTTATGGAAGTTATAGTCTTATAGACAAACCACAAACGACCTCAACAAGATTGATTTAAGGGTATTCTTTTATATACCCAAACTACTTTCTGATTAATTTCCAAATTCCAAATACGCAGGTGTCACAGTCTTCACAATTTAATAATACCAATTAGTCAATTACATAATATTCGAACAAGAAGCGGAAAAAGAATTCATTAATGTATTTATCTTCCCACACATGCATAATATAAAGTTTTCATTCCCTTTATTACATGTAATGATCAAGACCCTAAGGGCATCCTTAATTACACTTTAAACTTAGGAATTATTATATCAGTCAACTTTTGAACGGGACAAGCTATCCATAAATTCTTCAATGTTGCTCCAAGAACTTCCACCTTTGTTTAACAGCTTTTGCAGCCAAATTCTTCCATTTCATGGCATTATTCTTACTTCACTTCTTCTTCTTTCATGATTTCCCATATACTGTTCTTCAATGCTTGTCTTCTCACAATCCCTTTCTCATCAACTTGAACTCTCACTCCTATCTTCCAAACCTCCTTAATAATCTTT